TATGTGAAGGACAAAACAGAGTTAACGTTTCGGGTCTGGTGACCCTTCCTCAGAACAGGAAGGGTCACCGGACCCAAAACGTTAACTATGTTTTCTCCTTCACAGATGCTGCCAGACCTGCTGAGCTTTTCCAGCAACTTTGTTTTTGTTCCTGATTTACAGCATCCGCAGTTCTTTTGGTTTTTAATCTGAGAGTGAGCAGGATGTTTGACATTCCTGTTTATATCTGTTAGCCAGGCTCCCTGATTGGGACTGTTAATCTGGTCCAATCGGAGAACTCCCATTCTATGAGGTGCACCTGGCTGACCTCATTCCAATCACTACAGCCTACATGTGACTCCAGACCTACAGCCATGGTCAAGTTGGAACTACCCTCTGGGCAACTAGGGATAGCCAATAAATGCTGGCCTTTCCAATCAGGAGGCTCTCTCCAACTAGGAATAGCCAATAAATGCTGGCCTTTCCAATCAGGAGGCTCTCTCCAACTAGGAATAGCCAATAAATGCTGGCCTTTCCAATCAGGAGGCTTTGTCAGTGATAACTGCAGAGCACAGTTTCCCCCAAGAAAACACATACAGTTAAAAACTCTTTTAAATCAAGACTCAGTTCCACGCTCCAGGCCCCTGGTTCTTGCGTGTGAATATACGTTCCCAGCAGGGTCCTTTATATTTATTTTGCGGCTGAGGGTGTTATGTGTTCCTCTTCACAGATTATTCGTCTCCTGAAGGAGATTGAGGACCTCAAACTGGAATACCAGCGACTGGTGACTGACTTGCTGCGGTGGATTGAAGACAAGGTGAGGGAGTTGAACGACCGCAGCTTCCCCAACTCGCTGGCAAGCATGCAAAGGCTGGTGGCGGACTTCAAAACCTTCCGCACAGTGGAGAAGCCACCCAAGTACCAGGAGCGGGGGCTCATCGAAGCCCACCTCTTCAACATCAAGACCAAGCTCCGAGCCAACAACATGAGGCTGTACGTGCCCCCCGAGGGGAAGACCCTGCGTGACATCGAGAGGCACTGGGCCAACCTGGAGAAGTCGGAATACGAGCGGGAGAAGGCGCTGCAGAAGGAGATGCTGCGGCTCGAGCGCCTGGAGCAGCTGGTGCGCAAGTTCAGGAAGAAGGCCGCGCTGAGGGAGGCCTACCTCACCGAGATGAGGTCCGTGGTTGCCAAGCAGGACGTCAGCGTGAGGAGCATCGAGGAGGCTGTGGCTGCGGCCAAGATGCTGGAGGCCATCACCACTGACGTGTTCGCCCGGGAACAGAGGTTCAAGGCCCTGGCTGAAATGGCAGCAGTCATTGAGAGAGAGAACTACCACAGCAAGACCGAAATCGTGAAGCGGTAAGGTGACATTGCAGCCGGTCTTTCCGCTCGCTCGAGTATAATTGTGGTTTTATCATCCGATGAAGGAGGGTGGGTGGGGAGTCAGTGGGTCAGACACTGACCTCTCTTAGTCCCTGTCTGGACAGTGTCTGAGCCACTGACCTCTCCTAGTTCCTGTCCGGACAGTGTCTGACCCACTGACCTCACCTAGTCCCTGTCCGGACAGTGTCTGACCCAATGACCCCCCCACCCCCAGTCCCTGTCTGGACAGTGGGTCAGACACTGTCCAGACAGGGACTAGGAGAGGTCAGTGGCTCAGACACTGTTCAGACAGGGTCTGGGGGCTCAGGTTAGTAGGTCAGAGACTGTCCAGGCAGGGATGGGGATGGAGGTGGGGGTGGGGGTGTGGTCACTGGGTCACACACTGTCTTATCTGTTGGGAGTGGGAATGTGAGTCCCAGTGGGACCAAGACTGGGTTGGATTACAAACCGTGGTGTACTGATTGAAATCTCTTCCTCCTTTGCAGACAGCAGAATGTTGAACGTCGCTGGCAAGACCTTCTCCAACAGCTTTGCAAACGCAGGGAATCCCTGAACAAGACTACGTCTGCACTCGCCTTACTCCAAGATATTAACAGCATTTTCCAAGAAATAATGACCATTCACGTAAGATTGGCCACGCAGACTTGGTAATGGAGAGCCACTCAGTATTGCATGAATTAAAACTGTCCTATGTTCAGGGCCCTGGCTATCTGTCTGACAGTGTGTGAAATGAGTAATTGACAGGGAGGGTGCACTGCCCTCTCTTCTGTTATAGGTATTGACATCCTGTTCAAACAGATGAATCTGGATTGAGACAGCAACTTGTTCCAGTGACCTACTCCTGGGGAAAAGGAAACCATCCCAGCATTTTTCTCCCTTTAATCTTCCATCGGATGTGGCTGTAACCAGCAAGGCTGATATTTGTTGCCCGTCCCTAATTGCCCTCGAACTGAATGGCTTGCTCGACTATTTCAGAGGTAGACAAGAGTCCTCCATGTTGCTGTGGGTCTGGAGTCACATGTAAGCCAGATAAGGAAAGTAGATTTCCTTCCATTTGTGAACCAGATGGCGCCTTCATGACAGCTAACACTGTCTCATGCTTCCCATCGCTGGGGCTGGATTTCAATTCCACATTTATTCATTGAGTTTAAATTCCACGAGCTGGGATTTAAATTCATGTCCCCAGAACATTAGCCCAGGCCTCTCGATTACTATTCCAGTTTTATAACTGCACTCATCTGGTTCACCAATGTCCTTTAGGGAGGGAAATCTGCCATTTTTACCTGGTCAAGTCCGCATGTGACTCCAGTATCCATATCCATTGTGGTTGACTCTAAACTGCCCTTTGAAAAGGCACAGAAAGACACTCAGTTCAAGAGTAATTAGGGATGGGGAACAAATAGCAGGCTCACCAGCAACACCTACATCCCATGAAAGAATCATACGAAAATAAGTGCAGTTATACTGTTCAACCATTGGGTTAATCAAAATCATCATGACCACTTTACTCTTGAATTCTCTGCTCCCATTTACAAAACATAAGTGCCATTCATGACTTTGGGCAGGGTGGTGGCTCAGTGGTTAGCACTGATGCCTCATAGCATCAGGGACCCAGGTTTGATTCCACCCTCAGGCAACTGTCTGCGTGGAGTTTGCACATTCTTCCTGTATCTGAGTGGGTTTCCTCTGGGTGCTCTAGTTTCCTCCCACGGCCCAAAAGATGGGCAGGTTGGGTGGATTGGCCATGCTGAATTGTCCCATAGTGTCTAGGGATATGCAGGCTAGGTGTGTTAGCCGTAGGAAGTGCAGTTACAGTGGTAGGGTAGGGAGAGTGGGTCTGGGTTGGAAGGTCTTCAGATGGTCAGTGCAGACTCAATGGGCCGAATGGCCTGCTTCTACACCGTACAGATTCTGTGATTTGTGGTTAATCAATTTGTGCTTACAGTTTTTTGGAACTATGGAATGGCATTGTTACTTTCTTCTGTCTCTCAAACCTCTTCAGTTTACAGACTCATTCCTAACTTGCCCTCCCAAATTGTGTTCCATTTCACTTCAAAGAGATAGTATCTGTCTTCTGTTCGCCCAATCTACCAATCTTTCTGAAGCTTTTTTGTTGTGAATTTATGCGGTGAGATTTTAAATTTGTGTTCAAGGTTCTGAAGAGAGAATGTAGGAAATTAGGCAGAAATTTAAAAAGTAGATCTTCTATGATAATAATTAACTGGATTACTCCTGGTGCCATGAGCTAGCAAGGGTAGGAATAGGAGGATAGAGCAGATGAATGCATGACTGAGGAGCTGGTGCAGGGGAGAAGGATTCACAGTTTTGGATCATCAGAATCTCTTCTGGTGTAGAAGTGACCCGTATAAGAAGGATGGGTTGCACCTGAATTGAAAGGGGACTAATATATTTGCGGGGAGATTTGTTAGAGCTGCTCGAGAGGAGCTGGGACCCAGGGAGATAGTGAGGAAAGGGATCAGTCTGAGACTGGTACAGTTGGGAAAAGGAGCGAGTCAAACAGTCAGTGCAGGCAGGAACATAGCAGGGAATGAGGTCGGACTGATAACTCCAAATTGCATTTATTTCGAAGCAAGAGGCCTAACAGGTAAGGCAGATGAACTCCGGGTATGGTTGAAAACATGGGACTGGAATATCATAGCAATTACAGAAACATGGCTCAGGGATGGACAGGACTGGCAGTTTAGTGTTCCAGGGTGTAGATGCTGTAGGTACGACAGAAAGCGGGGAGCAAGAGAGTACAGGGAGTGGTGTTTTTGATTAGGGATAACATTACAGCTGTATTTAAGGAGGACATTCCTGAGAATACGTCCAGGGAAGTTATTTGGGTGGAAATGAGAAATAAGAAAGGGATGATCACCTTATTGTACTATAGACTCCCCAATAGTCAATGGGAAATTGAGAAACAAATTTGTAAGGAGATTTCAGTTATCTGTAAGGGTGGTTATGGTAGGGGATTTTAACTTAACAAACATAGACTGGGACTGACATAGTGTTAAGGGCTTGAATAGAGTGGAACGGTTAAGTGTGTACAAGAAAATTTCCTGATTCAGTATGTGGATGTACCTACTAGAGAAGGTGCAAAACTTGACCTACTCTTGGGAAATAAGGCAGACAGGTGATGGAGATGTCAGTGGGGGAGCACTTTGGGGCCAGTGACTGTAATTCTATTAAAATATTGATGGAAAAGAATAGACCAGATCTAGAAGTTAAAGTCCTAAATTGGAGGAACGACCAATTTTGCTGGTATTAGGCAAGAACTTTCAAAAGTTGATTGGGGGCGGATGTTCGCAGGTAAAGGGACAGCTGGAAAATGGGAAGCCTTCAAAAACAGGATAACAAGAGTCCAGAGACAGCATATTCCTGTCAGGGTGAAGGGCAAGGCTGATAGGTGTAAGGAATGCTGGATGACGAGAGAAATTGAGGTTTTGGTCAAGAAAAAGAAGGAAGCATATATCAGATATAGACAGCAGAGATCGAGTGAATCCCTAGAAGAGTATAAAGGCAGTAGGAGTATACTTAAGAGGGAAATCAGCAGGGCAAAAAGGGAACATGAAATAGCTGAAATAGGGTTAATGGGAATCCAAAGGGATTCTACAAATATATTAAGGATGAAAGGGTAACTAGGGACAGAATAGGGCCCCCTGAAGATCAGCAGGGCCACCTATGTGTGGAACCAGCAGAGATGGGGGAGATACTAAACTAGTATTTTGCATCAATTCAATGTGGAGAAGGATATGGAAACTAGAGAACGTGGGGAAATAAATAGCGACATCTTGAAAAATGTCCATATTACAGAGGAGGAGGTGCTGGATATCTTAAAATGCATAAAGGTGGATAAATCCCCAGGACTAGATCAGGTGTACCCTAGAACTCTGAGGGAAGCTAGGGAAGTGATTGCTGGGCCCCTTGCTGAGATATTTGTATCATCGATAGCCACAGGTGAGGTGCCAGAAGACTAGAGGTTGGCTAATTATTTAAGAAAGGTGGTAAGGAAACACCAGGACAGTATAGACCGGTGAGCCTGACATTGGTGATGGGCAGGTTGTTGGAGGGAATCCTGAGGGACAGGATTGACATGTATTTGCAAAGGCAAGGACTGATTAGGGATAGTCAACATGGCTTTGTGTGTGGGAAATCGGACCTTACTAACTTGATTGAGTTTTTTGAAGAAGTAACAAAGAAGATTGATGAAGGTGGGGCAGTGGATGTGATCTATATGGACTTCAGTAAGGCATTCAACGAGGTTCCTAATTGTAAACTGGTTAGATCACATGGTATAGAGGGAGAACTAGCTATATGGATATAGAGCTGTCTGGAAGGTAGAAGACAGAGGGTGGTGGTGGAGGTTTGCTTTTCAGACTGGAGGTCTGTGACTGGCAGTGTGCCACAAGGATCGGTGCTGGGTCTGCTGCTTTTCGTCATTTATATAAATTATTTGGATGTGAACATAGAAGATATGTTTAGTAAGTTTGCAGATGACACCAAAATTAGTGATGTAGTGACCAGGAAAGAAGGTTACCTCAGAGTACAGTGGGATCTTGAAGAGTAGCAAATGGAGTTTAATTTAGATGAATGTGAGGTGCTGCATTTTGGAAAGGCAAATCAGGGCAAGACTTAAACACTTAATGGTGAGGTCCTGGGGTGTGTTGCTGAACAAAGAGACCTTGGAATGAGACCTTGACAGTGGAGTCACAGGTAGATAGGATAGTGAAGAAGGCGTTTGGTATGCTTGCCTTTATTAGTCAGTGCATTGAGTATAGGAGTTGGGAGGTCATGTTGCAGCTGTACAGGACATTGGAATACTGCGTTCAGTTCTGGTCTCGCTGCTATTGGAAGGATGTTGTGACATTTGAAAGAGTTCAGAAAAGATTTACAAGAATGTTGCCAAGATTGGAGGGTTTGAGCTTTTGGGAGAGGCTGAATAGGCTGGGGCTATTTTCTTGTGTTGGAGTGTTGGAGGCTGAGGGGTGACCTTTTAGAGGTTTATAAAATCATGGGGGGCATGGATAGGGTAAATAGACAAGATCTTTAAATAGACAAGGGCATAGGTTTAAGGTGAGAGGGGAAAGATTTAAGACGGACCTAAGGAGCAACTTTTTCACAGAGTTTGGTGCGTGTATGGAATGAACAGCCAGAGGAAGTGGTGGAGACAGGTACAATTACAGCATTTACAAGGCATCTGCATGAGTATGTGAATAGGAAGGGTTTAAGAGTGACATGGGCCAAGTGCTGGAAAATGTGACTAGATTTATTTAGGATATCTGGTCGACATGGATGAGTTGGACCAAAGGGTCTGTTTCCATGCTGTACAATTCTACAACTCTACGACCCTAAGTCTGAAACCCCTGTGTGCATGAAGTGTGAGAAGGAATCTTCAGCTGTCCCTTGGATATTCCACTTCTGAACCTTCAGTATGTTTTGCAATAACTAGCTCACTGAAGCTCCCAGTGCAGTTGTCAGCAGTTTCTCTGTTGTCTAGGGCAGAAGTATTATAGCAAACGTTTTATTAACCGGCACCTACAGGACCAGGAATGTGCCAATTGGTTAAATGTTCCAGATAAAAAAAAAGAGGTAAACATAACCGTGGTAAACCCTGACCAAGCAAAGCTTCGAGACAACAACATCCCTTGAAAAATCGATGTCAAAACATCAACACACCTCCTGAAACATTGTAAAAAACACAAAGTAATGGAAACGTAAGGCAGAAGGTATACTCATTATTGTTATACTGTATTTGCAGCATAAATACTTGGACATCGCAGTATTTGAGATATATCATTTGTGCCAGTTGATAAGGTGCTGGTTAAAATGAAGTTTGCTGTAATATATGAAAGAGTGGCATCAGTCCTTTCAAGAAGATGACAGGAGTGCAGAAGAGTTCAAACTCTAGTAGTGATCCAGCTTTGTTTCTCTCCCCTCCTGCAGTCACTGGTAAGTTCGAGTGATTATGGTAAGCATCTGCTTGACGTGGTGGATATGGTACAGAAGCACAACTTGATCGATTCTCAAATCTCATCTCATGGAAAGAACCTGAAACACATCAACAAGAAAGCTGACAATCTCGGCAGGAGCAGCGAGCTGAACACTGACTTGGTTCAGGGCAAACTTAAGGAGCTCAACGATGCTTACAGCAACCTCCTGGAACTCAGCAAAGTTAGGTCAGTTATCATTCGGCGTAAGATACAACTGACACCGGTTCAGTAAGAATGTGATGTAAACCTTGGCAGCCTCCCCAGGCTCCTGGATAGAAGAGACTGAAGCCGAATTAATTTGACTGTCTCAACCCAGTTCTAAGAACTAAGTTCTGTCCCCGAGTTGACGCTGAGGTGTGAAAAATATCCCACTGCTGTGAGGGGGAAGTGTCCGACGTATGGGAGGAAGTGCATTGTCTCTCAGTCAGTTGGAGTCTCTCTCTCACACTCTATCTCTCTCTCTCTCTGTCTCTGTCTCTTTCTCTCTCTCAGGGTCATTTTAACCCGTCCATTTCTCTTGTTAATGCAGGCGTTCTAAACTGAAGCAGCAACAGCAATTGTTTGAGTTTTTCCGGGATTGTGACGAGGAGGAGTCCTGGATTTTCGAGAAGTGGCAGACAGTGCGCACGGCAGTGTTAGGCCGTGATGTCACCCAGATCGCAGCGTTGATCCAGAAACACAAGGTACCTACTGGGATAACCACGGTAACGCGCCTCACTGCATGAGCTCCCGCATTGTGCACTGTCATTCCAGGCAGGATCAGGGATACACAGATTCCTGGATCCAGTGTCCCAGTGTGGAGTAAGTGTGAGAGACAGGGGTCAGTGTCCCAGAGCGTTGAGTGAGTGTGAGAGAGGGGTCAGTGTCTGAGAGTGTGGAGTGAGTGTGAGAGATAGGGGTCAGTGTCCCAGAGCATGGAGTGAGTTAGAGAATAGTGTAGTTGGAATCTCTGAAATGTACTAATTGTTCTGGTCTTCAAAGGCCCTGGAGTCGGAGGTTAATAGCCGCCAGTCAATATGTTTCTCGGTGGTGAGGAAGGGCCAGCACCTGTACCAACGGAGTTTGGATTGTGAGAAGGAGGTGAGGAGGTGGGTCAGTACCCTGCAGAAACAATGGCAGCAGTTAAAGGACGAGATTGCAAACCGGAGCTCACGACTGCAGGCTGCACTGACTATCAAACAGGTGAGATCTCATTGGGGAGCAGAGTCCATGTTGTGTGACTGGGTCAAAATCCTCACAACAAGCCGCTGTAGACAGAATCCAAATATGTGTGGAGGATACATTTATACTGTTAAACACAGGAACATAAGCAATAGGAGCTGGAGTGGCTGTTCTATCGTTCGAACTCAGTCCATCATTTACTAAGATCGTTGCTGACCAACTGTATCAGTTGGATCTTCCTGTGCGATCCCCATATTCTATAATACACTTTGTGTCCAAGTGTCCATCGATCTTTATCCTGGGATATGCCAAATGAAGGAATTCTTTTCCTCCTCTCAGCTTGAAATAGCCAAAGTCTTAGTCTGTGACTTTTTCCTTAGTTTTAGAGCCCTTGACCAGGAGTAACATCCTCCTGGGCTCTAAACCTATCAAACTCCTTAAGAGTTTTAAATGTATTGATTTCGGCCCTGATATGTGGTAACCCACGAGTGCCGTTGATTATATAACCACCAGCAAAAGGCATTGCTTGTGTGTTTATAGCCTTTGACATTTGAGGTGGGGGGGCGGGGTTTGCTGTTATTATCCGAGTGAGCAGGTTTCTCGGTGTTGTCCTCCAGTATTTCGCAGATGTCAACGAGGCCCGCTCCTGGCTGCTTGAGAAACAACCTCTTCTGGAGAGTGAGGATTGTGGAAAGGATGAATCCAGTGCCGACACTCTCCTGCAGCGTCACATGCGTCTGGAGAAAGAGATAGCAGCCTATTCTGGCGAAGTGAAGCGGCTGGGGGATTTGGCGGCAGTGGCCGTACAGCAGGTTCCATTAACAATGTGTCAGGTACTCACTTCTGCGCTGTGTCTGTGTACGTGTCGGAGGGATTCTCCTGGGTTTTGTACATAATTGTATCACGCTTCCCTGGAGACTGCAGGAGAGCAACGCCAGGCGTTCCTAAAAATGAGCAGTCAACCTGCTGAAGCTACTTTTGTGTCCAGCGATGTTTGTAAGCAATTGCTTGACACAGCCAAATGATCCCACAACCAACGGATCAGACCTAAGCTTTGCGATTCTGCTATATCCAGTCACGAAGGACAATTAAATTGGAGGAGGAGGAGGCAATGACCATCTCTAACGAGAGAATCTAACCATTTACTCTTAATATTCCATGGCATTAGCATCACTGAATCCGCGGCTATCAACATCCCAGAGATTACCTGTGAAACTAAACTGGAACTAGTCATATAGATAACGTGGCCCATTGACATAGCTCCTTGATGTTCAGTGGCGTCATTATCCCCTTCTATTAACATCCTGGGAGTTACCATTGACCAGAAACTGAACCAGATACAGCCATAGTATTTATGTGGCCAAAGGGCAGGTCAGAGACTGGGAATTCTGTAGCAAGTAATTCACTTCCTATTTCCTGAACGTCTGTCCACTTCCATTTAGAAGGACAAGGGCAGCAGTTACATGGGAATATCACCACCTGAGAGTTCCCCGCCAAGCCACTCACCATCCTGACTTGGAAATATATCGCCATTCCTTCATTGTTGCTGGGTCAAAACCCTGGAATTCACTCCCTAAGGACATTGTGGGTCAACCTACAGCACTTGGACTGCAGCAAATCAAGAAGGCAGCTCACTACCACCTTCTCAAGGGCAACTAGGGACAGGCAATAAATGCTGAGCCTAGCCAGCGACGCCCATATTCCCATGAGTGAATAAATTTTAATTCCCGAGACCCCTTTCTACCTCCTCCCTTCTCTACAGCACCATTCATGGTAACAATCACAATGTGATCAAAGTCAGCATGGTCTCATGAAAGAGAAATCTTATTAAAGTATTTTCAAGACGTACCGAGGAGAGTAATTAAAGAGGACCAAATAGATATAGTGTACCTGGATTTCCAAAATACATTGATAAGGTGTTGCATTGAAACTTAATACACGGAAGGCGGCTCATGGAGTTGGGTGATATATTAACATGAATATAATATTGGTTAATTGACAGGAATTGATAAATAGGATTAAATGAGGCATTTTCAAGTTGGCAGACTGTAACAACTGCAATGCCACAGGATTAGTGCTCGTACCTCAGTGATTTGTAGTATGAATGACTTAGAGAAAGATGAATGTACATCTGTTTTTTGACAATGTGTAGCTCAGTGGGAATCCAGGTTATGAGGACCACTCAGAGATACAGATTAAAACAGTGAGCAGATGAGGTGAGTGGCCAACAAGATGGCACTTTATATTCTGGCTTGAAGATCAGAGCAGCAGAATATCATTTAAGAGGTGCAACTTAGGTAAGTGTTGATATTCAGAGGGACTCTGGTATACTCGTACAAGGAGCACAGAACATAACCTTGCACGTATGAGATAAATGGCTTGTATTGCAAAGAGATTAGTCAGGAATGAAGAGGCAGTGCTGCAGTGGCATAGGGGTTATCGGAGACCACACCTAGAGTAGTGTTCATATTTAATAAAAACCAATCTTGTAGTCAAGCTGATACAGCAAAGGTTCGCTAAATTAGCCTCTGGGATGAGGGAGTTACCCTTTGCCAGCGGTCTGAACGAAATGGGTCAGTATTCTCCAGAGATTAGAAAAATAAGAGATGACCTTAATGAAGTATACAAGACTCCGAAGGGAACTGACCGAGTAAACACTGAGAAGTTGTTTCCCCCTGACTGGGAACGTTAGAAGACAGGAACAGGTTAACACATTAACACTGAAGGTCTGAGATGAGGAGAAATATCCTCACTCGGAGGGTTTTAAAGCTTTGGAATTCTTGCCTGTCGGGATTGTAGACGTTCCATCCTTGAATAAATTTAAAGCTGAGATAGACAGAGTTTTGACTCTTGTGAAATCAGTTTGAATATCAAGGTTCAAACTGAAGGTGAGCCTTGATCAAGTTGAATGGCACAGCCAGCCCAGTAGGCCAACTAGATTACTCCTGCTTCTACTTTTTATCCTGCTGCCTGTCCTGGGGGTGCTTGATGCAGGCCATGTAGAGGGAGCTTTACTCTGTATCTTAACCCTATACTGTCCCTGTCCTGAGGAGTATTTGATGGAACAGTGTAGAGGAAGATTTACTCTGGGGTTTTAGGTCCATCAAGCTGTACCCCAGTGCCCCTCAGCTACTGCTGCAGCGGGAAGTCAAACAGGGGCATGATCACTGAGAGCAGATTCGCTGTGTACTTGGTTTCTGCTCGTGATATATGTCACGCAGAAGCCCTTAGAGCCATTGTGATGAACTAGACTTGGAGACTTGAAAGATATGATGTGTCTTGTTTACAGGCAGAGAACCAGGAGAGTAAAGAGACTGAGAGCTGCTCATCTGATGAGGAAGCAGTAGGACTGCAGACTCCACTGAGAGAACATCATCAAGGTGAGAAAGGAGGAGTGACAGCATAGTTTGGTGTGGTGTGTATTAGTGTCACAGTCCGGTGTGTGTCATATGTGTTCCAGTGCACCGCGGTGTGTAGCAGTGTCACGGCGTGGCGCGGTGTGTAGCAGTGTCACGGCGGCGTGCCGCGGTGTGTAGCAGTGTGACTGTGTGCCATGGTGTGCAGCAGTGTCACGGCGGTGTGCCGTGGTGTGTAGCAGTGTCACGACGTGCCGCGGTGTGTAGTATTGTCACGGCGTGCCGCGGTGTGTAGCAGTGTCACCGCGGCGTGCCGCAGTGTGTAGCAGAGCCACGGCGTGCTGCAGTGTGTAGCAGTGTCTCGGCGGCGTGCCGCTGTGTGTAGCAGTGTGACGGTGTGCCGTGGTGTACATTCCTGTGCAGTAACATACTATGATCTGTGCTCACAGCTGGGGCTGACAAGAACCGCTTGAAGGTGAAACTCCCAGAAAGCCAGACAGCCCGAGAGCGCAGGCAGCCTCTGGGTGCAAGGGGCAAGATATCCATCACCATCAGTGAGCCATCGGTGAGGAAACCATTTCACGCTCTTCACAGCACACACAACACTGCCCAGCTCTCTCTCCCTCCCCTCACTCCCTCCCTCCTCCACACTTTCTCCATTCTCTCCTCGTTTCTCCCTTGCTGCCTTCTTCCTCATGTTCTGTTTGGGCTCTCCCTCAGGAGACAGTGTCTTTACTTCAGAGATAGCAAGAACTGCCGATGCTGGAGTCTGAGATAACACAGCGTGGAGCTGGATGAACACAGCAGGCCAGGCAGCATCAGAGGAACAGGAAAGCTGATGTTTCAGAAATTTTGAAGCAGGGTCTTGACCTGAAATGTCAGCTTTCCTGCTTCTCTGATGCTGCCTTGTCTGCTGTGTTCATCCAGCTCCACACTGCATTATCAGTGTCTTTATTTGAGTCTGGGGGGAGGTGGGCAGAGGTTCCCGGAGAGGAAGAGCGGCTCATTCCTGTGTATGAGGGGTTTACTGGAATCCAGGCAGCGTCAGTGGAAAGGTTTTACCTTGCGGGGAAAGGGAAGATGCCAAGTTCCAGGAATCCAGGCTGACGGGTTTGTTCTGGGTTTTTATTGTTGTTCTGGGTTTAATTATTTTTTGTTGTTGTATGTCGGTGATCAGGTGGAGAGCGAGACTGCTGTTGACCATCCCCTGGCAGATAGTCCAAGCAGGAAGGTTAGCAAACCACGGAGAAGCCGGTCCATGCGCCGGGGAACGACAGAGATGCAATATTCCTCGACCAGCCGTCCCGACAACGACTTCAACAGCGCGGTGATTGAAGACAACCAGAGAAACATCAACTCCTGTTACTCTGATCTCTGCCAGCAAGCCAAGGTACAGTAACCCTTAGAATCATAGAATCATAGAATCCCTACAGTGCTGAAAGAGGCCATTCAGCCCATTGGTTCTGCACCAACCCTCCGAAAACCATCCAATACTAACGCAGCACACCCTCCCCGCCACACCCCAAGCCTATCCCCGTAACCCTGTGTTTACCATGGCCAATCCACCTAAACCTGTACATCCCTGCAATGGGGCAATTTACTGTGATCAATCCAGCTAACCTGCACATCGGTAATAACCCTTTCTCGTGCACTTTGTCACATCGTCTTCTGTTTTGTATGACATGCAGATCGCCAGCAGGTTGCACACCAGGGAAACACCGGGAATATCGGAGAAATTCAGCAGCTCTGGCAGCATCTATGAATAGAGAAAAGTTAACCTTTCAAATCCAGTGTGACTCTTCAGAACTCTATGGAGGACCCATTCCCTCCTTTTCATACACATATTTTAAAAAAAAACACACTTTTGTAGCCCTTTTTTCAGTTCTGAAGAAGTCATACTGGACTCGAAATGAGAACTGAGTTTCTCCAGTGTTCTCTGTGTTCGTTTCACAATTCCACCAATGGCAGTGTTTTACCTTTATGATGCATGTTCTGTGCTGGTTGTACCAAGACAGCTGAATGGTGCATAGTTATTAGCTCAATTCCCTGATTGAAATGTAAGTGGATAAAAGACTCTATCTTTCTCTAAGACATCAGCCTTAAGAAGACTGGGATGATCCCTTGTCAGCTACTAACACTGTAGGAATATTCCTGTGGTCTCCAGTCCTGCTCAGTGCTTGTCTGTCACTCACATGGAAGGCTCTCTCTTCTGTCCATCTGCTCTGGGCCTGGTTGTCAGTGCCCAGTGACAATTTAATCCTTGATTCTCCATTCCTTTTACAATGCCATACTCTGCTCCCCGTTGCATGGTGCTGTGTTCTGTTTTAGGGCCATGTTTGTCCAGTTTTGCCCACTCCGCCAGAATTCCCACACAGTCTGTCGACTCCTCCTTAGCTCTGTGAATTATTCCCAGAACTTAGCTGGACCTCAGAAGGATCTTGCGATGACAGCTCTGAATTTCGCTACCAGAACCCAAGCTATTAATTATTCGCAAAGGTTTCTGGTACTTATGAAAAATAATTAATTGTTACAAGTGCTTAGACTCTAGTTACAGGTCATTGCTCTTTCTTCATTGGGTAATTTGTGTATTTTAACACTTTGTCGCTTTATGCCCGAGACAGCTGAACCCTACTGCACCAATAGGTGGAGCTATTTACCACAGTAAGAAGGTTTGACGCAGTGGTTAGACTGAGCGAACCCATGGACTGTACATGGAAAAGTGAGCAAGAAACCAGAATCATAGAAACTGCAGCAAGAGTTTTTGTGTTGTGCACTGTGGCCTGCAACTCCTGTAGTGTTGCAGTTACACTATTAAGGTGACCATCTCAAGCCTAGATCAACGATTTTGAGTGTCACCAAGAGTTTGAGAATATCAGTTCAAGAAGTAAACTGGAGAAAAATAACTCAACAAGGGTAACCACAAGGTTGTCAGATTGTCATAAAAAGACCCCCACAGTTCATGGTAGGCACCTGGGCAGTGTTGTTGAACAGGGAGACCTTGGGGTCGAGGTATACAATTCCTTGAAACTGGCATCGCAAGTAAAAAGGGCGGTGAAGAAGGCGTTTGGCACACTTGCCTTCATCAACCAGAGCACTGAGTACAGGAGTTGGGATGTCATGTTACCGCTGCACAAGACATTGGTAAGGCCACTTTGGAGTACTGCGTACAGTTCTGGTTACCCTGCTGAAGGAAAGATGTTAATAAACTGGAAAGGGTAAAAAAAAAGATTTGCAAGGATGTTACGGAGATTGGAGGGTTTGAGTTATAAGGAGAGGCTGGATAAGGCTGGGACTTGTTACCCTGGAATGTGGGAGGTTGACAGGTGACCTTTATAGAGGTTTATAAAATCATGAGGGGCATGGATAATGTGAATAGTCAAGGTCTTTTTCCCAGGGTCCAAAACAAGAGGGCACTGGTTTAAGGTGAGAAGGAAAATATTTAAAAGAGATCTGAGGAGCAACTTTTTTCACGCAGAGGGTGGTGCATGTATAGAACAAGCTGCCAGAGGAAGTGGTAGAGCCAAGTACAATTACAACATTTCAAAGACATTTGGACAGGTACATGGATAGGAAAGATTTAGAGGGATATGAGCCAAATGCAGGCAAATGGGACTTATTCAGTTTAGGTTAGCTAGTTGGCATGGACGAGTTGGGCCAAAAGGCCTATTTCTGTGACTCTGACACTGGTATGCTCATGGTCTTTCGAGAAGCCAATTTGCTGTCCTCACTTGACCTACTTTTGACTCCAGTTCTCCCACCATTCTTGGTTTAATCTGGGCAAAGAAGCTTTTAAAAACTGACAGTGCTGGGAGAAGTGTCAACTTGAATAATTTTTCCAATCACTACATCAAACTAGCCTTGCTTCGGAAAGAACTGATGCCAACATTAAAGGGCAGCTTCATCTTTTCCATATTGCGCGCTGCCTGCAAACCCCTCTACAGTCGGTTCAATTTATCCAGCACTTCTTTGGCTTGACAATTTATTCAGTTGTCGCTGTCCAATGCTGTCCAAGTATTTCAAGCAGCTACTTAAAAAGTTAATTCTTTGTGCATCTGAGGCTGGTGTTTTCTCTGAGTCACATCCCTCTCCCCGTTGTCCTACCCTACTCTAGGCTAGAAGGAAAGCGCTGCAGGAAATGATCCAGCTCTACCAGTTCTATAACACCTGCAATGACTTTGACTCCTGGATGAACGACAAGGAGAATGGTTTCAAAACATTTGAACCCAAGTCAGATAACGTGGAGGCCATGCAAAGGAAATACGAGGTTTGTTAATCTCGTACTGAGCACTGAATCTCTGTTGTCTGCCTCCATTCCTAATCTATGTTCTCTCTCTCTCTCTCTCTGTAATCCCCTATACATCTCACCCAGTGTCTCCAAACCTAATCTGTGTCATCGTTCTCTGTGACCCTTCTTCCTAAACCCCCACTCCTCCAGATTTCAGTCATTGTCTCTATATGTTATTCTTCCATTGGACTGGATGGATGCTGCCAAGCTATGACCACTGACTGGGGCGCTTTCATGTTTCAGGACTTCTTGACAGAGTTGGCTGCTGGGAAAGGCCGGCTGGATGAGATTAACCAATTGGTGGATGAGTTTCTCAAAACCGGACATAGCAAGGAGCAGGAAATCAGAGCAAAGCAGCATGAGATACATAAAAGGTAACATCTCATTCTGTGGGTACCTCACTTCTCTGCCAGGTGATGCTGTTGGTCTGTGGGACGGACAGCAGGAATTGAGTCTGTATGGTTTAGCATTGGATGCAGGCTTCACTGGTTGTAATGTTCAAAGACTCACACTATAGCCTGAAGACAATAGTTTTCCACAATCTGCAAGAAATCAGAAGGGTCGGGACATCTGAATTCAGCACAAGAGAGAAATATGATTAACATGAAGACTGATGACCTGAATTTACAAAGGGTGAGATTCAGAGGGTACTATGGAAATGATACAGCATTCATACAGTCATTCAATCCAGATTGTCCATGCAGACCCATAGATGCCTAGCTGGGTAGTTAATAAAACTTTTAGTTACAAAATCATAGAATCCCTACAGTGTGGAAGCAGGCCATTTGGCCTATAGATTCCACACTGACCCTCCGAAGAGCATTCCGCTCAAACCCAACCCCTATCCCATCCTTGTAAACTTGCATTCCCCGTGGCTAATCCACCCAGCTTACACTTCCCTGGACGCTACAGGACAATTTAGCATGGCCAATCCACCTAACCTGCACATCTTTGGACTGTGGGAGGAAACCGGAGCACCCGAAGAAAACCCATGCAGACACGGGGAGAATGTGTAAACTCCACACAGACAGTCGCACGAGGCTGGAATTGAACCCGGGTCCCTGGCTCGGTAAGGTAGTCATGAGTAGCCAATGCAACATTTCATAGAGAGCAGAAGGCCATTCAGCCTATTGAACCTTATACCATTTTGGTGAAAGAACTATCTAATTAGTGTTCATTATATGTCAATTAAACCTGGAGTATTGTGATATCTATAACAGAGCAGGGCAGTGTGAGTCCCATTACTGTAATATCTGTAACAGATCCACAGCTGAGGCAGTGTGAGGCCCGTTACTGTAATATCTGTAATAGACCCAGGGCAGGGCAGTGTGAGGCCCATTACTGTAATATCTGTAATAGACCCAGGGCAGG